GGCGCCGGGGGGGCCCCCCCCGCGGCCGGTGCGTGGGCTGCGTTTCGTGGCCTACAGCTGGGAGTCCGCGAGGCAGAAGCCCTTTCTCTGTGTCGCTATGCCTGGCTGTGGTCCCTCCTTAATCTCTTTTTAAGGCAAAACGGGGGTGATTTTCGCGCGGCCAGCTATAGCTTTCAGTTTTCTAGCTGAACTTCCTTTTAATAGCTGGCTTAATAGCTTAAGTTTTCCACCTGTCTGTCGCGCTGAGAGGCTCTGAAGCACGCTTATACGTGTTTCCCATGCGAAATGAAATCCTTATTTTGGCAGCAGCGTAGGTGGATGATCGGCGGGGTATTCACAACTGCACGAGGAAGGGAACTGTGTGAGACGGGTCGCTGTTTTAATAACCTACGTGGGCCCTTTAGTGAGCGGAGGGCAGAAGGACTTTATAACAATTGCTGTGCAAGAAGACCGAATTTGACTCTGGTCAGTGCTGTGCTGCAGGAGATTGGGTTACCGCTTGTGGGAAAGACGTTAGCAAAATAGAGCTCGTAATTCAATGCCCTCCCCCAGCTGCGTGCGAGATGCCAGTCGAAGGCTGGCAGGGTAAGGAAAGCCCTCGCTGCGTACCCTGCCAACGCTGTGATACTGCAGTAATGGGAAGTCTTGCGCAGGGCGGTGGAGTTAATTCCAGCGCTCATTAAAGCGTTCCATGAAGGGACATAACTTGTGTCTCGGGAGTTGATGATAGCTGTGGCCTTGAGTAATAGCTTAAAACTGTAGGGCTGTTCAAATCTGAGGCATCAGTTGTCTTTTCCCTTTTGTCCTTTCAGCTTGCACCTTTTGATGGTCTTTTAAAACGCTTGTGGGGAAATATCTCGGTTGTCTAGCCTTTGTAAAGTCCTTTCCCAGCACGTCCGAACTGCTGAGCCTTTGCATTCATAAATTCAGCAGTGTTTGTGCTGCTTAGGGGAGAACAGAGAGATGTCTTGAGGCGCTGACACCATGCTTGCAGCTGCTTTTACAGTTGTCCAGGCTTCGCATGTCTGTAAAAGCAGTGGGAACAAAAAACCTGCTTGTCTCTAGTCGGCATTACTGTTACGTAAGAGGAGACATGGAACCTGCTTTCAGGTTAGATCTGGCAACCATCACCAGGAGACTTCAGGAAGGTCATTCTCAAGCAGTGACTTGCAGGAAAGAGACCCTCTGCTGCTGCTCGTGGCCACAGGAAGTTACAAGCTAACTGGAACGAACAAGGAGAGGAGAACCTGATCTTGTCCGATGTTTTTCTTGAACCAGATTGATGCCAGTGCACGTTGGATCTCTGAGCTACTACAGGAATCAAAGCTGCTGGGGTAGACTGTTTCAGAAAAGAGAAAGAGGAACAAAGTACAGGAAGAAGCTTAGATGCAGAGCAGGCAGCATGGCTGCCTTGCTTGCTTGCTAGTTGAAACATTATTTCAAGCACCCTTGCTTTTCCTTGTGAGAAAACCTGCTGTAGATGCAGGGAAGTGCTTTAACGAGACCGATCCGCTGGAAGCGTGAGAGGAAAAACTATGTGCAGAAAAAGCTTATGAACTGGCCTGATCCTGTGATCACAATAGTTACGGTCTTAAGGAGTGTTCTTCGTTTTCTTCCACCCGTATCTTGTTAGCCTTGGGTTACGAATTGCCCTCTGGGGTGGCACAGGACAAATCCCAAGTTAAAGGCATGAGACATGACAACATTCCCATTCAGTATTGAATAGGAATATCCAATGAAGCATTAAACATAACAAACATTAAGCAGCAGCTTTAAATGCTTATTCGTGTTTGAATACTTCACGCAGTCAGGAATGTAAACCTGAAGAGTTGTTATTTTATAGCCCCTTCAAGCACATACACGTAATACTTTCCAGTTGCATCTTGGTGAAGTACATGCTATTGACTCTTCAGCTGATACTTGTCACTTATGTTGCATGGAGTTGGGCCCACAAAAGATTATAATGTCGACCTTTAATCACTGAGGAAATAGACGTGTAATGAAACAGGTCTGTGGAGGGCTTCTGAATGGTGGGATTTTGAGATATTTTCCCTGTTTCTTGGCATGTAATTTTTTTTTTATATGCCGTCCAAAGGGCGTTCCTTAGAACAGAAAGGATGCCAAGAATTTGGGTGCTGATCTTTCCCTTTTTGGTGGCTATTTTGCTGTTAGGTTACTAACTTTCGCTCTAGATCTTGGTATAGCGCTTTCAGAAGGTAGCCTTGGCAAGAGGCGGTTCTGGGCTGACTAGAGATGCCGTGGCCTCCTTGTGCTAACATCGCTTCGTTTAGCTATTGCAGATCCTTCCCTTTTGAAACGGGCAATACTAAGATCTTACCAGGTAGAGGGAAAGCCAGTGAGCTTTGAAGGGGAAAGCCCAGACAAAACGGACGCAGATCTTTGGCTTTGGACTTGATCAGTGAAGTAGCTGTAATACAGCCACTTAAACACTTTTTTTTTTTTCTTTTATGCAGCTCCTCTTTGTCTTTTAGTTTTCCGAGTCATCAGAATTACCGTGTGTTTGCTGGAAAAAGGAGATTCTCCTTTGGCCTGTGCTACTCTGAGCGACCATGTGCTGAGCAGATGCCCTCTGCTCCTATAGCTTCCTCTCCCCCAAGAATTTTGCAGGCTTAATAGCATTAATGAAGGGGTGTGAATTTTTCGTACTGAGCTGATGCAGCAGAATTGTGATATCTGTAAATCTGGCCAGTAGTATTT